TGTCTGGTGTTCTGGCACAGTGATGGTGCTGCCACTTCCCTAGAGATGCCAGGGAGGAGCTCTGTGGTTTGTACTCTGGTCTTCTGGTCTTCTGCCACAGACTTTGGGCATGATCTTCATCACCATGGGCCTCGATTCCTCCACCTGGAACACAATGCTCATGATCATCCTTGTCTCCTTCATAATGGGATTGAATGAGGTGAATACACAAGTGGACTTCAGAGCTGTGCCAGAATGGTGCGTGGTACTAATGTTGCTCATGTTTCTGTGGGAGACAACTCCCTTTCTCAGGGAAGGATGGTTCTGAGGTAGGACTAAGGCACACCGAGGTGTCAGTGGAAAGGTGCAAGTAGGATACTCAAGCATGGAGACTGGCACCAATCCATCTCTGCTTGCATTCCCGACCAGAAACAGCATCCAAATGAGCAAATTAGCATTTAGATTTATGTGCTCTGCACAGCTTGAAGTGGTTATGATAATTCAGGCAGGGCATTTTTAACTGGCCAGGAGAGGACCAGCCCACAATTTGTAAAGCCTAAGAGCCCAGGACCTAATTCTGCCAGTGGCCTTGGATGCCTTTTGGTTCCTCGTGTCCCAGAGGAGTCAGCCTGCATTGTGTGTTTCATGCTCTCTGCCTCTGACCCTCTTAACGCTGTGAGGTTCCCCTGAATTGCACCTGAGGGGCTATTTTACATCACTTACTCATAATTAATAGAGAGGCTTGCCCTGCTGTCCCAGGGGGTTTTCTCCTTCTCTCCAGCTTTTGCAGTTTGAAAGCTGAGGAAGCAAGATCTAGGGATTGCTGCACGGGGCTACCAGTTTGCTGAGCTGACTGGTAGGCCATGCTGAGCACTGGTGTGAATGCAGGGAGCTAGTTCACCTCCAGAAGGGTATTTTTGGGTTGTGGTGAGAGAAACGGTGCATTCTGGCCATGATGAAACCAATAGCAAAGCTTCCTCTGACTCAGGGAGGGCCAGGAATTTTCCTTAGAGTCTCCATACCAGAGTGGGGAGCATTTCCTCGAAGCCCAAACAGAGTTCCTCACTTCTCTGTGCTGACCAGATACTGGGGTGGGGTGGGATGGAACCCAGACACTTACAGAAGGGGCTCTGACCCTTTTCTCTTCCCTAGAAGCCTCTCAGCTACTCTGGGCTGCAGTGACTCCCTTACCACGAGTGTCTCCTTGCTGAGGGCTGTGCAGGACCTTGTGGCTGTGGAGCTTTGTAGCATGTGACACTCCTGAAGGTGGGGTGGCTTTGTGCCCCTGTATGGTTGGCCAGTTGCTTCCTACCAGTAAGCCCTATGAAAGCAAACCAGCAAAGGAGAGGGAGAGTGGTGCAGGCAGAGAAACATTGCCTGGGAGAGCTGTGAGCTGAGGAGGGTGAGGATGGCTGAGTTTGGGAAGGGCAGGTATGTATCCAGCAGTGAGGGCAAACGTGAGGGAGAAGCTGGAGGGTGGGAGCTTTGCCCCCTCCCATATGCTGCCCATCTGGTGTCTCCTGCTGCATGTGGCTCCAGAAGATTTCTGGAGTCCAGTGGGTCAAGGAGCTGACAGCTCTTAGCAGCAGGAAAGGAGGACTGTGAAATGGGAGGGTGAGGGACTCGGAGTGGGGAACATTTGGCCTGTAGTGTCCTGACAGCATGTGCTAAATGCTAATGTAATACTCGTAAGAAATGAAGACTAATAATGCTCAGCTGAATAATTTAACAAGGAAAATAAATCTCAGCTAGTGAGGCAGGTGCAGGCTCCTAAATCATTTGCTCAAGTTCTCTGTGCCACGTGTGTGCTCTGGTGTGTTGTGTTCTTGTGTGGGAAAGACATCCCTGTCTGTGCCTGTGCATCTACTGCACACTTGAAATTTAAGGCAGGCACGTCCTGCCTGCTGGATTCTAGGCCCAGTAGGTCATGTACAAATGCACCTTTCTTAGTTAGGTGTGTTCTCTGATTGCTGTGCAGCCTCAGGTGATGTCTGGAGGCCTGAAGAATTTGTACTTCCAGAGTTTGCTGTGTTAGCCAGAATCATGTCCACCCTGCTGTCCTGTTACTCTCTTTCTCACTCAATGGAAGAGGTGAGGCTTGACCATCCTTTCTGCATGTTGAGTTCTTGTAGGGGACAGAGCTCTTTGCCTGAGACCTGCAGACAAAGTTTAGGACCCCACAGGGACACTTCCCAAGGCCTTGGCACCTATGTGGATGAGTTAAAGCAGCTGTGGACTCCCTCTGCTTGAGAGGTCTTTGGTATTTTGTTCATCTTGGATGGCAATGTGGGAATTAGAAGATTTAAAGTGGTGGTGTCCTGTTTGTTGAAGCCTCTGGGTGTTCACCTCTCTGCAAGGAGGACCATGCCTGCCCCTGCCTCAGCTGGGAGAGCTCCCATTTCAGGAAGCACAGGCAGAGAATGCTGCTGCTCTTCTCCAAGCCTCAGCATCTGGACACATTTCTTGTATTTTGTTTTCTTCTCTTTGCCCACATCTTCCAGCCCAGAGACACGACCTCAGGTTGGTGGGTGTTTCTGAAAGTCAGTGGAGCTGACAGGACCTCTGGAAATGGGCAGCCCTTGACCAAGGGCTTGGTCTGACTTAGGGCAGAGGGAGAGTTTTCCTGTGCCCTCCCAGGATGCTGTTCCAGGTAGACAAGAGAGGAGCTGTGGCTCAGCTGTGGGGTGCAGGGCAGCCCTGGACAGCCCAGATGCTGCTTCCAGACCTGCACCAGCACGAGCCCACACGGCTGTGCTGGCAGCTCCAGTGCCTGTGCATTGTGCTGTGGCTGCTGTGGGAATGTCACCGTGGGGCTGTGGCCCTGTGTGGTGAACTTTTCCACGGTGGCAGGTTCAGTGGGGCCAGTCGTGGCTCAGCACCCCTGGGATAGGGATGGACAGATGGGTAGAGGGGCCCCCTCCCCAGAGATCATATCAAAATGTCTGTTTTGTGCAAATGCGAAGGGAATGCCCCCAAGAGCTGGTTTCCATGGCAACCGCAAATGTCAGGTTCCATGTGGTGAATAACCGTTTCCATGGCAACACCTCCTTTATCCTAGGTGCTGGAAGCTGGAGTGACAGCCCTGCTGGGGGAGGGGACAGGGAGATGGCCTCAGGTACCTAACCCCCCCTGCCTCCCCCAGCATCCCTGAGTGGGTGGTGCTGCAGGGGGTGATGTGTGTGCTCGTGATGCTCTTGGCTTCCACCTATCCCTTCTGCCCCTCCTACCCCCAAATGGCTTTGCTGCGCACAGAAGCCAAGATCTGAGTCTGTCCCTCTGTCTCCCTCCCCATCTGTTTGGTTTAGACCTGGTTTTGCATCCTGGGTAGAAACAAAACTATTGCTCAGAGCTGTGGGAACGGTGGGGGGTGACATGGCCAGCTGCCCCTCTCTTCTGAGCACACATCTGGGCTGCCTGCCCTCTCCCACTCAGCCTGCTCCCTCAGCACTGCCAGCCTCAGCCTGCACAGGCATTTTGCCAGGGACCAGGAGCAGCAATAGCAGCCTCTGCCTCTCAGCGAGGAAATTGGAGGCTTTGTGGAGCAATCTCTGACCGCATACTTCTGAACCTCTGCCCCACATCCCACTCAGCTCGTGAAAGAGATGCCAGGTCCTTGGCAGCTCCTGGAGGGAGCAGCAGCCTGGAGACTGGTGGGTGCCAGAGCTGCACATGCTGGGGCCACATGGTAGCACAGCAGGATATCAGGAGCTCTGCACATCCATGCAGCTGATGGAGAGTGGGAAAACGACCTGCAGCCTCCCCCTCTCCCCTAAATCGTGCAGGAGGTCCTGGGAGATGGAGGTGCAGTTGGCACTGCTGCCTGTCAAGGTGCAGCAGCTTGGCCTTCCTTTGGGAAGCTGCCAGCCCATCTCTGGCTCTGCCAAGCAGCTCCTTGAGCTGGGGATTGCGTGGGGATGGTCTCAGCTTCTGCTCCTCCTGCCTGAGGCCCAGCAGGCAGTGGGAGTTGTGTTTCCTAAGAGAGGGAGTGGACTGTGCCTGGACCTGCAGTTGTGTGCTGGTCTTACCTGGGACATTCTGGTTGTTTTCTGTTAGGAATGTCACTGATTACTGTCAACCTGTGTGAATGGTGTTGAGGGACATGGGGGGAGATGTGCTGCGAATGGGAAATTTGTGTCCTGTGCACCATTCCTCAGAGGAGGTTCTGGTGCAGTTGGGTCCTGCTAGCTGGGGAAGAAGGCTGCAGCTTGTCAGCTCCTCTCTGGAGGTGAGAGTTTTGCCCTGCTTTGCAAATCAGACAGTTAAAGTTGTGGGTTCCTTGATGCAGCTGCTCCTGGATAGAAGTGTTGTTCTGTCTTACCTGGAGAGTCACAGTATCACATGAGCTAAGATGCTCCTCAGGCTTATTGTTTGTGGTTGGATTATTGCTGATGACACTAATGGCTGCAAGAGAGGTAAAAAGCTCCTCTCCACCACCAAGCAAGAGGAGTTTTGCCACTCTCAACCTGACCATTGCCCCTAAGGAGCAGCACTGCCCTGCTCGAGAGCCTCTGGTGCACAGAGTTATGTCTTCAGGAGGGCTGGGGAAGGGGAGACATGACATGCCTATTTGCTGTAATGCTTGTAGCCAAGTTCAGAGCCAGTTTTTCCTCCCTCTTGCAAGGAAAGTGGCTCAGGCGAGGTGGCCATGCCTGCACTGAGTCAGAGCAGACATAGCAAGAGCTTCCAGACACAGTCTCACCTGAGGCCACCCCAGTTCAGGCTCTGGTCACGTGGTGATGAGCTGCTGCCTTAGAGTCCTCCCAGAGTTTTATGCATGGTGGGGCATTTCTAGGAGAACCATTCTCTTCAGGCAAGCAGCTGAGCAGGGAAGAGGACCAGGTTTCTTTTTGAGAAGTCTGAAATCTCTGTGGTCCCTTTTCCAGGGGGATTGGTTGCCATCACAGTGTCTCACTTCCCTTGTGCCACTCTCCTGCTCTGCACAGCAGGCAGAGGGGAGCAGCCTGTTGTGTGCCAGGCAGGTGGGCCAAGCTCTAACCCTCTGCATTTTTCTTTCCTTGCAGATGGCTCGTCCGATTCAAGTGAAACCTGCAGACAGCGAGAGCCGTGGAGGTAGTTGTCATCTCTCCTTGTTTCTCCCTTGGCTTTGCGCTCGTGAAAACAGACAGGGTCCTGACCCTTCCTGCACTCTGTGTGAGATGTTTGTGTGGCAGAGACCTGGGGGCAGGAGGAGAGTCTAGGGATAGGCTTCAGCTGGACACAGCACCTCGAGTCCTGAGGGTGGTCGTGTGGCTGCTCACTCCACTCTCTGTGCCAGCTCTGTGTGGGTACTCTTACCCTGGCAGTGTCTGTCCCAGGAAGGTATGAAGCACCTTGGTATATGGCACTGGGGCTCCTGGAGGGCGTAAGCTGTTGGGAAGAGGTTTGTCAATTGTGCAGCTGCTCAGCCCAGTAAAACGAGGTCCCTGCAGCAGCTTTGTAACGTGTTCAGCTCAGTGCTCCCAGCTGATTCTCCTGCCTGCAGCTCACTCCCCTGCCTCCCCCACCACGGCTGAGCTGTCTCAGCCTCCTCACTCCCAGTCCTGCAGCAGTCCCCATCACACTGTCAAGGCCAAAACGCTGTTGCAGGAAGTATCACATGATGGGGAAATAGTATCTGAAGGGAAGGGATCCTGAGATGGAGGTGCTATCAGCCTGCAGGGGACCAGCTTGATCAGAGCAGCATATACTGAGGAGTTCAGAGCTGGAAGACTGGGAACAAGAGAATCTGTTAATTTAATGGGGAGCTCACAGCAGCTCAAATGCCTCCTCCAGGTGGAGAAGGTTTGCAACTCCAGCCCTTTCCAAATCCATTAACTCATTTTGCTCCTTTTCATTGTCTTATGGATGTATTTGTTTTCCTTATCTCTCCATTCCTGCGTCTGCCTCTCCACGCCTTGTCCTGTTGTGCCTCTGAGAGCAGTTTAGTAGTGCCAGGGGAGGAGTTGTGTGGTGCTGTTGGTGCTGTTTGTGCTGTGGGGCAGCGTGTCCTGTGTGCTGGATTTAGATTTGGAAGGTCTGTGTTCTAAATTTTAAGAGGTCACTTCTAAACAGCCTGTAGTGACTTTCAGTGACTGCACTGGCAGGAACATGAGAGATATTTTATGATGCTCTATATGAATGTGTGTATTTATGGTTGTGTGATCCTCCTTTAAAAATCTGTTTAGGTCAGGTCATTTTTCCAAATACAATCTGTAACTTTTGAATGTTTGCTTGAGGGATAATGCACCTGACTTTTACTGAAGTCTGGGCATTTTTGTTTGCTTGGGCTATACAGAGAATCAGACCAGTACCTTCAGAGCATTTCACTGTCCCTCTTCACAGCTGTGTTAGGAGTGGATGAGAGATCCTGTAGAGGGGCCTGCAGGGGAATGTAGGGTGAGCTGACTGCTCACTGACACCTCAGATTGCCTCTGGATTCAGCCATTAGATGGTCAGTCCTTTGCCTACCACATGGACATTGAAAATTTGCATCCCAGGTTTCTAATTAATTTAGAAGTTATGTTGTTGTAGCTGAGGTTATTCCCAATGAGCATAGGAGACCAGGAGAGCCTTTGCCATTCTTACTGGTACCAACATCCCAGAGCCATTGGTGATGCCCAGTGCCCTCCCAGCCAGCAAAGACAGGGAGCTGTACCTGCAGCAGAGCCCCACGTGCCCTGCACCTTCCCAGCACATGCACACAGTGACTTGTGCCAGTGCCACCTGTGCTCTGAGTCCTCACACAGCAGCAGCAAACAGGCTGAGCAGACAGTTCACGCTGGGAAATGACCAACCACTGCAGCTTTGCTTTCCTAACTCTGTGTGTCTGATGTGTGCAGCTCTGAAGTCTGGTGTCTAATGTGAGGCTGAGGTAATTTCTGCAGTCTCTGTTGCTGCTGGGGCACTGCTGAGGCCTCTCCTGTGCACAGCCACATAGTATCAGTGTTGGGATGTAACATCTGTGATGCCTCAGTTCCTCTGTCAAATTAGAGCAACAGGTTCCAGAGCAGGGTGTTGCAATTGGTAGCAATCCTTTGGTCAAGGTACTGGACTCTGAAATCTCTGAGCTTGTGAAAAGTGCCACAGTCCCTAATGATTGCAAATATCAGTACATCAGCTCTGCTTCCCAAGGACCAGGCCCTAGAGAGCAGCATCCTTCAGAGTCTGCACACCCGTTTCCCTGCAGCCTGTGCACTTTGCTTCCCCCAGCTCACTGCAGAGCTGACAACAAGCAGCTCCCACAGGATCCACGACAAACTGGATGTTTTCTTGAGGCAGGAGCAGCATCAAGACAGCACCCTGTGTTTGTCTGAATCAGGTTGCTCTTTGGAGATGTTTCTGTCATGATGCTCCACTTGCCAGAGAAGTGGATGAGGTATGGGGCAAGCCATTCCCTATAGCAATATTCCCACACTGGCAGGAGGTAAAAGAAAGAGTTGGGGCAGGGCAGAGCTGCTTGGTCTAGGAATTTATCCAGGGAGCAGCTGCATGCATCAGTGAGGCACTGTTCTGCATCATCCTTGAAGGGAACCTCTTTATACTCTCCAGGGACTGAGGTTTCTCAGATGAAGCACCCTTAATTAAGTCCACAAAGTTAGAACACCAGAACTTGTCTTGTGATCTGAGAGGTGCTGATTTTTGTGCCAAAGGGGCAGTTCAGGCCCAGCCCTGCAGGGTCTGTGTGGGGATATCTGGATGCTCAGTGTTCTGCACCCTCGAAGGAGTTCCCTAGTAAGAAGTTGGTTCAGAGGGGCCCCTGTGATTCTGGCAGGCCTTGTCAGCTTTTTCCTTCCCTCCCTTATGTCTCTGATGTGAGCCTGGGAGTGCCAGGAGGAGATGGAGGGAGGGGCAGAGGAGCTTGTCTGCTCCTTGGAGACCTGGAGCACTCGAGGCGCTGATGTGATCCGACAGCTCTCCGAGCCCATCAGCACTGCCTGCACACAGGGAGGTTCTCTGCATACCCAAGGACACATCCACAGCCAGCTGCTCCAGTGGGTTTCCCCTCTCTCCCCATCCTTGCTGCTGGCCAGATGACCTGAATCCACTGCGTTTAGAGGAGTTGTGTTCGGTGCTTGTGTGCTCTCCTCCCTCTCTCTCTCTCCCTCTTTCGCTGCCTGGGTGGCTGACGGTGCCCAGAGCATGTTTCCATGGGAACTCAACAGTCAGAGTCAATTTTCCTGGTTGCTGGACAGCATGGGAAATTGCCAATCAGAGGGTGAAAAACAAGGGCTGTAGAGAAAGTGAAGGAAAAATGGCAAGGAGAGAGAAGGGCATGGTGTTCTGAGAGGGGGAGAGGAGATCTCCCAGTGCTGCAGAATTCTCTGCTTGGGAGCTGAAGGAGCTGGTGACCTACAGCAGTGCCCTGGGAGTGCCAGCCCCTTCACAGGTCCTCACCTGCTGCAGAGAGCCACGGAAAGGAACAGGCTGGATCGTTTTCATGTGTCAGTCCCTCCCACAGGAGGCCACGAAGGTGATAGGAGCACTGGAGCATCTCCCCTGGGAGGACAGGCTGAGGGAGTTGGGGCTGTTCAGCCTGGAGAAGAGAAGATTGTGTAGAGACCTCAGAGCAGCTTTTCAGTATCTGAAGGGCCTACAAGGAGCCAGAGAGGGGCTCTCTGTTAGGAGCTGCAGTGACAGGACAAGGGGAAATGGGTTCAAACTGAAGGAGGGGAAGTTTAGGTTAGATACTGAAAAAAAGGTATTTTACTGTAAGGATGATGAGACACTGGCCCAGGTTGCCCAGGGACATGGTGGCTGCCCCAGTCCTGGTGGTGTTCAAGGCCAGGCTGGATGAAGCCTTGAGCAACCTGATCTAGTGAGGGAGGTGTCCCTGCCCTGGGCAGGGGATGGGCCTGGATGATCTGTAAGGTCCACTCCAAGCCTAAATTCTGTGATTTCTCCCCTTTGTTGATGTGTTTTTTTGAGGAGCTCCTGCTGTGTTTTCAGTCTGCAGTGTGGTGCTGCCTGGCTGCAGATCCAGTATAGTTTCAGGGTAGAGGAAGGGGGAGCATTACAGAGCTCCAGTGTCCCTTTTACGTAGCCAAACTGGGACCAGCAGCCTGTGCTGGGGCTTGGTGGTGGGGCAGTGCAGCAGCTTGGAGTGACTCCCTGGGGTGTCAGTGTGTCCCTCCTGCTCACTAAGGAGTTGTGTTTTGGAACATCTGCTGGGCTGGGGCAGTGCACAGGTGTGTAGGGACCTGCTCTGTGTCACCCATCTCTCTTCTGTGGAGCTGTGTGGCCAGGGAGCAGGGAAGGGCACACTTGGGTGGGCAGAGGGGAGCAGGAGGGTCTGGGGGCTCTGGTGGCACTGTGGTTGTGCCACCCATCCCTGCCCTGCTCACACACCACCCTCCTGGCCTGCTCTGCTGCTGTAGCTCCAAGACCTGTTGTTTTTCAGGTCACTGCACTCTCACACAGATTGCAGCTCTTTTCCCTGATGTGTGTCACACTGTGTTGGTTTGTTTGAAGTCAGCCCCTCTGATCCTGTCACTAGCAATAAGGAGTTTTCTCACACTGCTCCTCCTAAGCCAGATCCCAACACGTTTGCTCCTGTGGGTCCTGTCTTCCCGTGCATGGCTGGGGCAGGGGGGAGGGTTAACTCTCTAGTTGGCACAACTATTTCCTTGGGAAAATGCAGATTGGGCTGGCATTTAGGCTGAGAATTTAGTGTTGTGCTATCTTAATAGCTGCTCACATCAGTGTGTGGAGGATGTTGCCCCAACCACTATGTTTGTGCCTGACTGGATGGCATCAGGTGGTGTGATGCCACTAGGGGCCCTGATGTACTGATGGGGGGAGAGAGTGGGAGAAAACACTGCACCTTTCTTGCCTCCTCACCTACCCATCTCAGCAAAACCATAATGCTAACTTCTCTCTTGTGAGGAGGAGCCCCAAAGGACTCTGAGCTCAAAGGCCTGGATGAGTTGGCATTGCAGCTCCCTGTCAGTGTGACACAAAATGCTCTTGGAGAGGGGAGAGGGAGGACCCTGGAGCTGTTTGTTGATCCTCAGCCAGCTGTCTGGTCTTTGGGTTGGTCTGATGTATTTCCTAAGGTACCTCTTGGACTTCACATGCAGTTCAGACAGTTTTTTGTTGGATCATTCAAAGGAAAAGGCTAATGAATAAGAAGGAATTATTAATCTTTTGTTTTCTGTTGGGGAGGGTAGGACAGGGGAAGACAGAAACCTTTGCAGGTGAGGGGAGCTTGGGAGGACCCTACATACTCACCCCTGGCAGCATTTCAGCCAACAGCAAACCATTCCCATGCCAGGCATGTTCTTATCACTAGGCTGTTTTGTGCTCGAGTGTCCCTATCCTCCTGCTCTGGACTGTAAGCCTCATAGAAGGTTGATGTCTCTGTGTTTGCCCCTAGGGGACAGGAAGCTCTTTGTGGGCATGTTAAATAAGCAGCAGTCTGAGGACGATGTGCTCCGGCTCTTTGAACCATTTGGGGTCATTGATGAATGTACAGTGCTCCGTGGACCTGATGGGAACAGCAAAGGTGTGAGAAGCCCTCTGTGTGTCTTGCCCTTCCTCCCTGCTCTCGAGTAGTGCTCACCTGCCTCACTCACTGCCTGTGCCTCGTGTCCTCTGGGGCACTCACTCCCCAGCCTGACCTTCTGGGGACCCACAGCACAGCCAGACAGGGGGAGCAGCACAGGAGGAGTCATCTGCTGCAGGGAGAGGTTGGGGAAGGTGGGCAGAGGCTGAGGTAAAAGGAGGGGAAGCTGAGGTACCAGGATCACTAGTGAGCCTGTTCTGGATCTGCAAGTTGAACTGTTTGTACCTACAGTTAGGAGTGCCTAGAGAATTTGGGGAAGAGGTAAGCAGGGGAAGGGTGGAGCTGGTGACATCATCTGTAGAGTATGTCATTGGAGTAATAATTTGAGACCCTTCCTCTTTTTTCCAGGATAGAGGACTTGGGCTGAGTCATCCTTTTTGTTCCCTGCTTCCTTGGGGTGGCTTTCCTTTGCCTTACCTGAGATACAGACACTGTCTCTTGCGTGATGGCACTTTCACAGCAGTCCTGTCACTGCAATCTCCTGTGCTCTTTCTGTCCCTTTCCAGGCTGTGCTTTTGTAAAGTTCTCATCTCACACAGAGGCTCAGGCAGCAATCCACGCACTCCATGGCAGCCAGACAATGCCCGTGAGTATAAGGCCAGGGGACCTACCCTTCCTAATCCTTGTCCCACCACCCTGTGCAGGGATCTCCTCACACTCTCCAAAGCCACGACAGGTTCAACTGCAGTTTCCAGCTCCTGTGGCTGGGAGGTGTGTGCACCTCTGTGCAACCATCCTGTCTCCTGGGCTGGTGTGTAGCTATGTCCGTCCAGACTGGTAGTAACTTATAAAAGGTAAATAAAAGAGAGCCAAGAACCAGGGCATGAATTTTTCTTGGAAACAGCAACCTGGAGGAGTTCAGGTCTGAGCAGGTGCAGTCTGACAGTTCAGCCACGAGGGTGCTCAGGACTTCAGTGTCTGAGCACACTCCCTGACTTGTTCAGGCAGCAGAGGAGGCTGCTGGGACAGGCTGGGGATGCTTTGTGTGTTGTGTGGGGTCGTGGAGCTGCAGCTGTGATCTGGCAGTCTTACCTGCACTGGGCACCTGATGGGCTGGGCAGTGCTGCAGGGTGTTTGCAGCTGCAGTTTGCCAGGAGCTGCTCTGCCTGTCCAGCCCAGCTCACGGTGCTGGAAAGGTGATGCACGTGGGTGTTCCTGGCTGACCATCACCTGCTGACCCCAGCCAGGGATGTGTGCACCCACTTGTGCCAGGCTCAGGGTGTGAGGGGGAAGGGTTGGATGGACAGACACATGGGGAGGGCACGGCCCAGGTCCCAGGCAGCTCCCCAGCACCTTGATGCCAGTATTTGCTCTCCTGCTCCTCTTCCCTCTCCTCTCTGCTGCCTCCTCTGCCCCTCCTGCCTCGCCTGACGTCGCCTCTCTGGCTGTCCCACGCTGTCCCCCCTGCCTCCTGTCTGTCTCCTCTCTCTGTGCCCAGGGTGCCTCCTCCAGTCTAGTGGTGAAGTTTGCTGACACAGACAAGGAGAGGACCCTCCGCCGTATGCAGCAAATGGTGGGGCAGCTGGGGATTTTCGCTCCATCTCTCTCCCTGCCGTTCAGCCCATACAGCGCCTATGCGCAGGCTGTGAGTATCCCGCGCGTGGGGGCAGCACTGCCAGGCCAGGCACGGCCAGGGCTCTGCAGGGCCTGAGCCCTCCTCAGGGCCAGCCTGGGTGGCTCTGGCTGCTGGAGCTGTCTGGGAGCAGGTGTAGCATGACCCAGTGTCTCTCTGTGTCGTGTTGAGGACAGGTCAGAGATGATTCCTGTCTGCCAGACGTATTACACTGACTTGTGAGCTCTTCCTCTGGGTCTGTGGCACAAATGTTTGCTCTCTCTGGTGTTGAAACATGTGAGAGCCCTGGGCCCAGCTTCGCAAGTTTATTTCTCTGGGCAGTTCTCAGGAGGGCCCTAATCCCCCAGGTGGTTCCTGGGGTGTTCTCACTCAGGTAGTGTGGCTGAAGGGTTTGGAAGGTGCTGCACAGGGTAGCAGAGAGTTGAAGTGTCTCAGCAGTCTGACCTCCCCTGGCAGCACTGGCTGCACTGTGGGGCTTAGCAAGGGAACCTCCTTGCCTTGGTGGCAGTTGCCATTGGTGTTGGATGTAGGTCCCAAACTCAACAAGTCCCTGATCAGCTGTGGAGGAGCTTCATTTGAGTCCTTTGGTAACTCATTTTCAGTCTCTGCTGCCCATGGGAGGAGGCTCAGAAACTGCTCAAGGCAGGAGAAATTCTTGTGTTGACAAAGAATTCAAAAGTAGATGTTGTTACTGAAAGTAATTTTCCAGGTGGGAAAGACTGCATAGATTATTTGATTTTTCTGGTGTGATGAGTCTGAGAACAGCTATACCATTCAAGGGCAAAGGCTTCCAGCAGAAGCATGGTTTAGAGGGAAGAATCCCTTCTGACCAGGCATCAGGGCCTTTTCTCTCCAGCCCTAAGCCAGTTACACCTGAGGTCTAAGGTTGTAGCTCAGCTCAGCTGTGGGTCAGCTGTGAGATGACCATTCTGGTGTATTTTCTGCTGCCGTGGAGTTGGCACTAACTTGGTCATCATGTGGTGGTGGAGGAGGCAGGAATGGGCCACACACTGAGGTTATGATGGCAGAAAGTGCTGTATTTATTAGCTTGTGGTCTAGGCTGTGG